TTCAAGTCATAACTAGTAAGAATCCTCTCCTACAGGCCCGTTTTCTCCGGATTATTTTTTTTCTCAAGTTGAAATATATTTTTAATGTGACCAAAGTGAAAAAAAATGAAGGGTTCATATTCATTTCCTTGATTTAATAATGTCTTCATATAATAACACAAAATTCATTTTCTATTTATCTAAAATTAACATCTTTAAATAGTCAAAACCTAAATAAAATAATTTTCCATGAAAATATTTTTAAAAGCTATTAAGACTTCCTTGCTTTCTTAAAAGAGTATGTTGCATATAATTTAGTCTTTTCTTGACACTAATAGTCAATATCTGGATAGAAATTGATCTGTACCACAGGAGATGCTGTCTAGAGCTATTATGTTTTTGTATCTTTCATATTCTATTCTTTTAAGTGCCATCTCCCACCCAAGTTTCCAGAGGGCAGGATATGAATCTAAAGACAAGGGCAGAACCTCTCCCATCCCCTCCTGGCTTTTGTAAACCTCAGTGGATTTTTGTTGTTTTATTTTGGTTTTTTACTTTATTTTTACCTTGATTGTATGATGTAGATGCGATTTTAACTTTGAATTTTTAAATCTCTTTTCTAGTCCCAAATCCAAGCCACAACGTCCAAATTATCTCCAAAACTGCTCCCATTTGAACTGGACTCAACTCATCAGGCCTCTGGTTCAGAATCACCGGGAGTTCTTTGGTTAAAAAGTACAAATTCTGGTAGCTTAAACATTAGACCTAAAATATGCCTTTTAAACCAATGCCCTTAGTGATTCCTGTGCATCTGAAGCCTTGAGATCCACAGCCCTATCTTCTCCTTGAACTGCTGCAAATATTGCTACAAATTATCGTCACGTGGGGTGCTTCACGGAAGATACAATGCCTGAGCCACAGCCAGGCTGAGAACCAGGACCTCTGGTGGTAGGACCTGGGCACCTGGGCTTGCTTCATTTATTTTTTACTTTAGTACTTTTTATTTTGAGCTGGCTGTGTATTTCACGCACCATTTGTAAGAACAATACACGCAGATCTCATGTACGCTGCAGCCAGTTTCCCCGTGGTAACATCCGCGTGACCACAGCACAATAGCACAATCAGGAAACTGGCACGCATACCACCCCGCTCAGCTTTTCTAAACGAGCTCTCCTTTCTGACTTTCCTCTATGTCTTCCTTTGCTGATGCTTAGCTCTAATGAAGCTTTAAAAAAAGTTTTTATTTTGAAAAAATTTAAAATAGACAATTGATCAGAATAGTGTAATACCCAAAACCCCTTCACCTACCGTCACCAAATGTTAGCATTTGGCCCCATTTCTCCCTTTTTCCTTTCTCCCTTTCCTCCTCCTCAATAGGTAAACCTGTTCTTTACTCTGGCCCACTTATGCACTAGTGACCGCTCACGCCTGCGCGCTCCGGCATGTGTCTTCTGAGAACAAGAGCCTTCTCTATATAACCACAATAGAATTACCGAATATGGGAGACTGGACATCACTATGATATTATTTACAACATAATGCAGTTAATTTTCAATTTCTCTGAATTTCCCAAAACTGTCCTTAAATTTATAGCAATTCTCCTCCCAGGACCCCGCATAGCGTAACTGCGACGTCTCTGTACCCTCCTTTCGTCCAGAACAGCCTTCCTGTCTCTCCTGCCACCGATATATTGGAAGACTCCAGGCCAGTTTTCTGTGGATTGTCGCTCAATCTGGGCTTATCTGGTTGTTTCCTCATTGAATTTCATTTTTGAAAAACATTTTCATCAACATTCCCAGCAATGAGGTCACAGGGGAGAGACTTGGCAGAGGAGAGGTCTCCTCGATCGTTGTTTAACACGGTTAAACATAACTGATGGATGGCCCCCTCTGAACACCTTGCTCCCAGGCAGAATATCAATACTATTTACCACAGATCGTGCCCCTGTGGAGAGCTGGGCATTATCAGAAGCAAAACCAGGTCAATGCCTTTCCCAGCTTGTAATCTGAGGATCAGGAGTCCTGGGCTCTGGGTTTCCAGTCTGGGCTTCTCTGAGACCTGGGCGAGGAACACCATTTCTCTACTCCTCAGTTCCCTCAACTATAAAATAGAATGAAAATACCTAGTACTTAACTCACAGGGTGATGCAGTGATGGATGGTATACACTCAACACAGTGCTCGGCACTCAGTAAGTGCTCATTTAATGTGAGCCTTTACTGTGATTATTTATTTATTTAGGTTAATCCTCATCTGAGGATATTTTTCCCATTGATTTTTTTTTTTTTAAGAGAGAGAGTGGAGACTCCACCAAGATGGCGGCATAGGTAAACACCGGAGACTGCTGCCACAAACAACCACTTCAAAAATACAACTAAAAGACGGAACGGACATCACCCAGAACCACAGGAAGGCTGGCTGAGGAGAGACTCTTCAACTAGAAGGAAAGACAACAGCATTCCGAGGCTCAGAGGAGGCGCAGTGTGGAAAATTTAAAGGTGCGGAGGTGCGCGCGAAAGCGGGCTGGTGGCTGAGGGCGCGGTTGTCGTTTTCACCCGGGAGGGAGTCTCAGACTCTGGGCTCCAGATCCGGGCGAGTCTCTAGGGACTCAGACTCAAACAGGAGAAGCGGGATTGTCTGGCATCAGTTGGAACGTGAGGGCAGCTTTCTCTCCGAGGTTTGCAGCGGTTGCCGGGGTTCTGAGAAGCAGAGCCTCTGGGAACGGGACTGAGAGCAGCCATAACTGCTCCCTCCGCCCGCCCTGTTGAGCCCGCCCCGCCCAAGCCCTGCACAGAGCCATTTGCCAGATCTCCTCAGGCAAAGGCTAGATTAGCACCTCCCCAGAGGACAGAAGTTTTCCCACAGCTGATTCTCACAGCCAGTCGGCCTGGTGGTCAAATCCCTCTAGTATTAACTACAACAATCAAGGCTTAACTAGAACAAAACTGTGCACAAAGACCACAAGGGGGTGCACCAAGAAAGCATAAAAAATGCGGAGACAAAAAAACATGACAGAAATGGAGGATATAGAGCTAAAAAACGCAATTTTGAGGGCTTGCAATAAACTTGTGGAGAGCCTCATGAAAACTAATGAGACCCTCGATGCTATGATAAAGAAACAACCAGAAATTAAGCATACATGGACTGAAATAAAGAATATTACACCCAATAGCAGACCAGAGGAGCGCAAGAATCAAGCCAAAGATTTGAAATGCGAAGAAGCAAAAAACACCCAACTGGAAAAGCAAAATGAAAAAAGAATCCAAAAATACGAAGATAGTGTAAGGAGCCTCTGGGACAGCTTCAAGTGCACCAACATCAGAATAATAGGGGTGCCAGAAGATGAGAGAGAGCAAGATATTGAAAACCTATTTGAAGAAATAATGGCAGAAAACTTCCCCCACCTGGTGAAAGAAATGGACTTACAGATCCAAGAAGCGCAGAGAACCCCAAACAAAAGGAATCCAAAGAGGACCACACCAAGACACATCATAATTAAAATGCCAAGAGCAAAAGACAAAGAGAGAATCTTAAAAGCAGCAAAAGAGACTCAATTACCTACAAGGGAGTACCCATACGACTGTCAGCTGATTTCTCAACAGAAACTTTGCAGGCCAGAAGGGAGTGGCAAGAAATATTCAAAGTGATGAATAGCAAGAACCTACAACCAAGATTACTTTATCCAGCAAAGCTATCATTCAGAATTGAAGGTCAGATAAAGAGCTTCACAGATAAGGAAAAGCTAAAGGAGTTCATCACCACTAAACCAGTATTATACGAAATGCTGAAAGGTATCCTTTAAGAAGAGGAAGAAGAAAAAGGTAAAGATACAAATTGTGAACAACAAACATGCATCTATCAACAAGTGAATCTAAGAATCAAGTGAATAAATAATCTGATGTACAGAATGAACTGGTGATTATAATGAATCAGGGACATAGAAAGGGAATGGACTGACTATTCTTGGGGGGGAAAGGGGAGTGGGAGATGCGCGAAGAGACTGGACAAAAATCTTGCACCTATGGATGAGGACAGTGGGTGGGGAGTGAGGGCGGAGGGTGGGGCGGGAACGGGGAGGAGAGGAGTTATGGGGGGGAAAAAAAGAGGAACAGATGTAATCTGAACAATAAAGATTAAAAAAAAAGAGAGAGAGAGTGAAAGGGAAGAAGGGAAGTGGGGAGGGGGCAGAGACCGAGAGAGACAGAGAGAGAGAGAGAGAGAGAGAGAGAAAGATCGATGTGAGAGACACACATAAATTGGCTGCCTCCCACACGTGCCCAGGCCGGGGACTGGGGATTGAACCTGAAACCCAGGTGAGTGCCCTTGAGAGGGAATGGAACCCATGACCCTTTGGTCCTTAGGCCAATGCTCTAACCACTGAGCTCACTGGCCAGGGTACTTTTTTTTTTTAATAACATCATTATTTCTCTTAGAAATATTTTTTCTGATATATCTCCTCAGGCAAGGACAACAAAAGAAAAATAAACAAATGAGGCTACATCATTTGTAGAAGGGTGACTGAGAGACTGGATGAAAAAGTTAAGAAGTATAAATTGGTAGTTACAAAATAATCACAGGGATATAACCTACAGCATAGGGAATATAGTCAATAAAGTTGCAATAACTATGTATGGTGCCAAGTGGGTGCTGGAAATACCAGGGGGGACACTTTGTAAAGTATATGATTGTCTAACCACTATGCTGTACATCTGAAACTAATGCAAAATAATATTGAATATAAGCTGTAATTGAAAAAGAAAATTTTTAAAAATAAATCTATACTTTATATGAAAGCAAAAAAATAAATAAATAAAAATGCCATTAAGCCAAATCTCTCGTGTATTATTTTAAATCTTCTGGTGTGTTGGCCAGAGTTTTTTTGTTAAAGCCAAATCCTGTTGCTATCTGTAGTTTTCCCAAGTATAAAAAAGAATCTCTCGTGGAGCCCACCCTCTGGCCCAGCTGCTGGGCTATGGAAAAGACCCTGGCCCTTCATGGTTAGGATGCAGGAAAGCCGTCTTACCATTACATCCTGGATAGTTAAGAGGATCCTTGCTTTGTCCGTACTGCCTGGAAGGTCGGAATGTCCATGAGCGTTCTGAAGGGAGAAGAAGTTAACATCACAGGGTGTGGTGCCGGTCGGAGGTTTGGAATCCTAGGGACAAGCAGAGAGAACTGGGTATGGTAATAGCAACTTGTGTCCCTAAAGACATGCGGGGCCTTCATTCTCTCTATTGGCCTCCATGCCTCCATCTCTCTCCTCACTAAGCCGTTCTCTGCTCTCACTCCCTCAGCTGATCTGATCAAACTCACCCCCGGTCTACCAGCACCACTGGGGAACAAGCCATTGGGACCAGGATTCAAACTCGGGCCACCAACTTCCCAAAACGGTGCCCTGAGCTGCGTGGGGACCAGCACAGAAAGATGGCCACACGGGTTGATTATCAAATAATATGAAAGGTATAATCCTATTTATTTAAAAACAACAATAAAAAGCAAAGGGAAAAAAGGCACTCACTCAAAGGTTAATTACATGGTAATCTGAAACAGAAGTAGCCAAACAATGGAACTGCCCTAAAAATGCTCCCTCATGTTTTCAAGTCTCACCATTGAAATTAATGCGGACTGAAGGGACCGCCCGGGAGCCCTGCTGGGGACAAGGCGGATGGGCTGCTTCACTGGGAATGCTTGGTCAGCAACTGCCTAAGTCCACCCACTACCAACTGGTGGGTGAGCCGCCATGGGCCACGCAGTCTACGTCAGGGGCCGTGGCAGACCTGCTGGTGGCACATGGGTTGTGACAGGTCTTTAAGTTGTCTATATGTATCAGTAAGTAACGACTTTAAAACACTAAATTGCAACTGTGGACAAATATCCAATTCACCCCACTCGAGGATCGAGGATCTGGAGGATCCGCACAAGGAAAAACTCAGAGAAGGATTCCAGAAGATGCATGCCTTCCTGTCGCCTGCCCTGCTCTCAGGGCCTGAGAACTAATCTTGGGGAACTGCACTCAGTGGGCCAGAACCGGCACATTCCAGAAACAGCCTCCTCGTGGATAGAATGACATGTGCAGTTTTTAGTCTGCATGGCTGCACAGTAATGATCTCTGGGCAGTGAGATTATGAAAGAACTTTTATTTTCTTTAAACATTGAATTTTTTATATTGATTATGCACTATCAGGGAAAAAATATCTCAATAAAAATATATATACATTTAGCTTCATTCCTGTTACTTAATTGAAGCCAACATCATTTAAATGGAGCCTTATCATCCACTGCAACATGACTAAGACCTGCCGCTTTGGTGGAACTCTCTAGAGCAGTGGTTCTCAACCTTCTGGCCCTTTAAATACAGTTCCTCATGTTGTGACCCAACCATAAGATTATTTTCGTTGCTACTTCATAACTGTAATGTTTCTACTGTTATGAATCGTAATGTAAATATCTGATATGCAGAATGGTCTTAGGCGACCCCTGTGAAAGGATCGTTCAACCGCCAAAGGGGTCACGACCCAAAGGTTGAGAACCGCTGCTCTAGAGCGAGGGCCCTCCTTTCACAGGAGTTGCTAAACTGCAAACAGAACTCCCCCCACCCCCAACTCAGAGTAGAACCCCTCGTCCTCACTCACCGCAGGTCCCAAAGTCCTATGTGGTCTGAGCCTTGGCGACCTCTCATTCCTCACCTCCTCCCCACCCCACCCCTCGGTCACTGAGCTCCTGCCACACTGGCCCCTGGCTCAGAGCCTCCACACCTGCTGCTCTGTGCCCGGAGTGCTCTTCTCCAAATGGCTCACTCCCTGGCTTCCACGATTCCTCTGCTCACATGTGACCTCATCAAGGCGAAGCCCCTGCCCAGCACATTAAGTGGCAGCCCCTGCCCAGCTTTCCCCTGATAAGCGCCATCACGTCAGCTCCTGGCATGTGATATACTTGCTGATTGTTTTACCCTCGATGCCAGGCCCTGTGGTGAGGACTGTGCACATGGGAGCACAGCCCGTCTAAAGGGGATTGGTGCTCCTCAGCCCAGTCATTGCTGGTGCGTAAGAATGTGGCTCCCAAACCTTCCGATTGTCCAAGAGAAGCCCCAGCTTCAGACTGTGACATGGAATTTCCTGATTCTTAAATGTCAGCTAGTAATTCACACCTTAGAAAGCACCAGGGAAGTCAACGGGGTGGCGGCCAACAGGGCATGTCTGCAGCACGCCGGCTGTGAACTCAGAGCCGCCAGAAACTGAAATTCACGGGGATGTGCTGGGAGGTGAACGGCTGGTGTGCCTCAGCAGTGAGGTCAGGTGAAAAGCACATGCAGACGTGTGTTTCCTTTGCTCCATTTCGGGCTGCACTGCGCACAGGGTGAGGCGGCCGAGTCATCCAGCCACACGCTTTTTTTTTCTTTCCCTGTTCGGATTGCAGCTCTTATGGCTTCTGCCTTTGCCGAAAACTGGCGCTGCCATTTTACTCTGACTTAGCAGGAGAGTAACTCCTGGCTGTGAAGCCTACGGAGTGCCCCTCACGGGGGAGGAGAGGAAAGAAAGATGCAATCAAACACTCAGAGCGGAGAAAATTCAGGGCTGGCGGAGCAGGGCACTGCCGATTCCGAGCACGCGCACACGGGAATGCTAATGGGCTTAATCGCTTGTGAGGGACAGGCTGCCGTGTTTCAGGGAGCTTGGGAGCTTGCAAAGGGAGGAATACATGTTCTTGTAACAGGAGGAACCAAATGGTCAAAGGAGAAGAGGGAACTACCGTGCCTCTTGCTCGAAGGGCATGTACGCATCCTGTGACATGTGCTGGGGCTGGGGCTGGGGCTGGGAATGTAACAGACGAACTTGGCTATAAACCAGCCGGTCGATGCAAAAGCAAGCGACTGAGTGCTTGTGGGGTGTGTGTGTGTGTGTGTGTGTGTGTGTGTGTGTGTGTTGGGAGGTAGGTGTTAAAGGCAATAAAGTCCACAATTTTGCTCACTGTAAAATTCCACTTCTATGGCTGGGGTAGAGAAACGAGGTCATTGGTCATTCGGTAGAAAAGGACTCTTTTCCAGGAAGGAAGGAATAGTAACAGAAAGTGTCCCGACAGCTGCTGAAGCGCTGAGCAAGGGCACGCCTACCTGTGGGTGACCCCCGGAAGCATCCTTTGCAGTGACAGTCGTGTCCGCATGTGGCTCAAAATCTTCAGAATAGTCCAGAGGAGGTTCGATATGGAGCCTCGAACCAGCTTCTGTTCTGATCTGCACAGATTTCTACACACAAAAATTCAGACCATTTCAGATAAGGTAGAACAGACACCTGGATGCCCCTGGGCGAGCATGTGGGGGCTGGCTGTAGGGTGTCTGTGCACAGCTGCCTGTGGTCCTGCACGCTGGCCCAGCAGTGTCCCCGGGCCACCCAGACAGCTAAAGCCCCCTCTGCTCAAAAGTCTTCACCAGTTCAGAATTTTTTAGTAACTTTTTAGCTTAAAATAACTTATCCATAGAATTTTGGATGTTAAACTTCTCAATAGCTTTGTGATCAAATGTTTAGGAAACCTTGGGCATTTTTCTTCAAGACTTCTCAGGGCCTTCAATGTGCCCCCTCCCCCACCCGCCACACACACTTGTGGAAATCCTAAAATAATCACAGCGAGCAACGTTTCTCACACGTTCTGGGCCATGGGAACTGTGTGGTGGGCCTGTCTTCCTCCCGGCATTCCCTGGGTCGTTCTCTGGGAAGCCCACTCAGTGGTCTGATGTGGCAGACTGCGGCTGTCCCCCAGTGCCCACGTCCCCTCCTCCCTGCAGCTGGGGAGCCGTGTGAACACGTACATCCTGGCCAGTGCAGGGGGTGGGGGAGGAGTGTGTGTATCTTTGTGTAGTGCCCCTGAAGGGAGGGCACAGCATCCCTTGCCCAGCTGAACCGTGGAGGTGGTGGTGAGAGCCGAATACTGAGAGAGGAAGCAACATCGGGAGGACGGTGGAGCAACAAAATAGCTCATGTCTGGGTTCCTCCGTGACCGCTCGGGGCAGGTGGCTGCACCGCTGACCTGTCCTGTTAGAGCGACATCAACCCAGGGCCTCTCTGTTTTAGCAGCCAAACCTGTACCTAAGCCATGCATCTGGCACGCAAAGCTCTCTACAGCGGCCCCAGTCTCTTTCCTGCCCCGATTCCAGCGCATAGAGTCACACCCCTGACAACTGGGCCACACGGAACTGCTGGTTTTTCAGTCCAGCATCTCCCTGTTCTCCTTTCAGGTCCCCCCCCTTGCCCCTAGTCCACCCAAGGCTCAAGGGCAGAGATGGGCCTCGGGCCTGATCAGGCAGCCCATTCTGCCCCACCACACGCCCTGGCCCCTGGCTCAGGGGTGGGAATGGACCCAAGGCAGCCAATGAGTAGTTAGGAGTGCTGCTAGAGCTGGGGGAGCAGGTGCCCCCTTCCCCGGTGCTAAGCTAAAGGGAGGAAGACACAAGCTACTGGGACATCCTGCCCCTAATGCAGAGACAGAGAGCTGAGAGAATGAAGCAGAGTCCTGATGGGTTTGTTCAGACCCGAGTCAAGCGAAGACACTGCTTTCACCCCCCACCCCCACCCCCCAATGCTGGCATGGCCGGATGTAAGCGAAGCACCCAGGGAGCAACAGCTAAGGAGGTGCTCCCTCTGCACGCACACAAATCCAAGAGGGAGGGTCCCCTTAAACTTCAGCCCTGGGCCTCACCCTGGTGCGGTGCTGGTGCTGAGAGAAGGGACAGGTCCGAGGAGCGGAGGGAGAGTGACGCAGACCATGCATTCCCTCACCCGCAGCGTTAGAACCGTTCACTGGGTAAGATTCAGCTCCCCCACAAGCTTAGGGAACTAGCTATCAGCCTGACGAAGCAGGACCTGAGGCCGGAGCCTGGGTGGCCCTCGGGCCGGCAGCGGTTAGGACAGGACTCCCATCTCATCCACGCCCACTGCCCTCCCCCATCAGTGCTCTCGCACTAGTGCACTTCACCAGTGCAAACCATCGCCACGCCGAGTGCATGGGGTGCGTTTACTTGCTCCTTCAGTCCTCACGGTAACCCACGGGGGAAACCCAGGCACAGATCTATAAGCCACTTGCCCGAGGTGACACAGCTGGGGGACCACAGAGCCTAGATTTGAACCTGAGCAGTTCGGCTCCAGAGACCGATGCTGAGCAATGTTTCCTTTCGAAAGTAAAGGTCTTAGGCTCTGACAGCCATATGGTCTCTGTGACAGTACTCAACTCTCCCATCACAGCTCGAAAGCCGCCGCGGATGATGCCTCACCAATGGGCATGGCTGCGGCTCAGACACTTTATTTGCAAAAACAGGCTGTGGCCAGATCTGGCTCAAGAGCTGGTGTTTGCTGACCGACCCCAGCGCCAAACTGCCACGCTATACACTAGTTCTTCCTTATCACGGGGAGACGTTCCAACCCCCGGCGATGCCTGAAACTGCGCAGAGCACTAAGCAGCTGTGAGCTTTGTTATTCTGTGCATACACACCTATGATGAAGTTTCATTTATAAATTAGGAACAGTAAGGGTTTAACAATGACTTGTAATAAAATAGAACAATTATGACAATAGACTGTAATAAAAGTTATGGGAATTATGGAGTAAAGTGAGGGTCACTGGAACACAAGCACTGTGGTACCTCCACAGTGGATCCGATCACTGAGACGCCTCGTGACTAAGAAGCAGCCGGTCACAGCACGAGGTGCCGGACAAAAGGATGATTCACGTCCGGAGAAGATGGAGCCAGACAGCATGAGATTTCATCTTGCTACTCAGAGCACTGCACGGTTTAAAGTTAGGAACTGTTTATTTCTAGAATCTTACATTGAATCTTTTCGGACCCCAGTTGACCACGCAGGGGCACGGAGAATAAACATGCCCAGCCTGTGCTTTACAGTGGCCTTTGGAGAACAGAGGGAAATTAAAGAATTCCCTGAGACTCCAACACTCAGAAGAGGAAACAGGGACTGAGCTATCGATCATTAAAGCAGTGGTCGGCAAACTGCGGCTCTCGAGCCACATGCGGCTCTTTGGCCCCTTGAGTGTGGCTCTTCCACAAAATACCACATGCGGGTGCACGTACAGTGCGATTGAAACGTCGTGGCCCATGCGCAGAAGTCGGTATTTTGTGGAAGAGCCACACTCAAGGGGCCAAAGAGCCGCATGTGGCTCGCGAGCCGCAGTTTGCCAACCACTGATTAAAGGAAAAGATCTTAGCGAAAGTACAGGGCCTGAAGAAGGAAGGCGGGTGCCGCCCTGCCCAAGAACAGGGAGGTGGGAGGCGCGGAGAGGTGGCCACGGACACTGTGCTCCCACAGGAGGTCCCGTCACTCGGCGATGCACCAGCTGTCTCTGGAACCCTGCTCTCCACTCTGCCTGTGGCCTCACCGTTTTGGGCTCAGGCTCCAAGTGTGGCCTCGCTGCCCCCCCGGGCTTTGCAAACTCACTCTCAGAGCATTTCCTAGCGTCAGCAGCGGGGCCCTTGGAGGTGAGCCCTCCGTGGGAGAGGTAAGCCTGGGCTTTCCCGCCTAGAGCCAGGATGAAGCTGTAAAAGCCTTGAATTTCATCACAGAGATGGATTTCCCATGACACCTTCAAAGAGAGGGTGCTCCTCCCTCCTCCCCAGGAACCACTCAATAACTGTCCAAATGCTGAACCCCTGCAAGAGAGGAGGAGGAAGGGGAGGGGCGCATGCGGGAAGCCTACTGGGCATGGGGCCCATCCAGAGGCACAGCCAGGCCCCGCCCTGGGTTGCTGCTCCTTTACCTAGAGAGGGAGAGCTTGGACCAGGGCCTTGCTCCTCCACGTGCCAGCACCGGCCTTCCCTGGGGATCTGAGAAATGTTGAATTTCAGGCCCCACCTCAGAGCTGGGAACAGAATCTCATTCTGACCAGACCCCAGGTGATTATGCGCACACGGAAGTTTCAGTAGCGGGAGGTTGAAGAGGCTTTGTGGTGGCGCTGTTGTTTCCGCCTGTCCAGCGTGTCCCCGGTCTTCTGGTGAAAGCACCCTGGTTTCCTTTTGGTAAATCCTCCCCTCCCCGCCCAGACCCCAGTTCAAGTGTTCCCATGGAACGGAGACCAGGGGTGGGTGGAGCAAGTGACCCAGGCCTGGCCCATCTGAGCATTAGATCCCGCTGGCCCACAGTGACTGGGTGATTGGTTCAAGGGAATAGCAGGGTGACAGTGTGAGCGGGGACCTGCTGGCGACCATCTTGGTACCACACAGGGCAACAGGGGAGAAGCAGACTTGAAAGATGGAGAAGAGCCCTGCTCCACTGTCTGAGCACCTGGATCCAGCCATGCCTGAATGGGGTTCCCACTGGCAAGTAAGAGAGCTGGAATTCATGCAGCTCTGCTGGTCTCACCTGAATTATAAATGTGAGAGAGACCTTCCACATTCTAGGAGAAGCACTCATGTGCCCTTCTCTCTTCTGCAGCTCTCTCCTCCCCCTTTCCCCAGAAGTATCCCTCTCCCTTCCCAGGAGTTTGGCACAACTGCTCGCCCGCCAAGATGTGAGGAGATAGGTTTGCAGGAGGCATTAAGGCACTTAACCAGCAAGTCCTTACTGAGTACTGTCTGCATACATGTCAAGATACAAAAAATTTCAAAACCAATGCCCTGGCCCGAGGAGTCACACAGAACACATAACAGGAGGTGTTTATGAAGCAACATGTGACAAAACTAAATGCTGAGTGGGTACCTGAGAGGGGAATAAATAGTCCCTCCATCTGGCTGGCGCTCCCACCTCAGCCCCAGGAGGCACCTCTGCCACCCCTGGGAGGTGGAGAGCGGCTCTGCCCACATGACGGGCCCACCTCCCCATAAAGAGTGCGAGGCTGGCAGGTTCCAGCCCCAGGCACGCCAGCTCCCTGCCTCCCACCTTCACGCCTCCCAAGGATGATGCCTGGCTGGCTCCCTGCCTCGTACACTGCTTTACCCTCAGTGGGCGTTGCTAAGCAGCTGCTCTCTCCTGCCCACTTGCAGGGCTCAGACTTGGGTAGAGCTTTGCAAGCAATCATAGACCAGGACAGAATTTAAAAGCCCCAGCCCCCAAACACCCGTGTTCCAGTCTACCAGCCACTCCTGGCCCGCCATGCTCAGCATCACGTGAGTGTCAGCAGCATTGTAAGGTATGCACTAAAGCTCACTGTCAATTAGAAGATCAAGGCCGGCCTGCAGGGTGGTGAGGCTGTGCAGTATCAAATGGCGCCCTCTAGAGGCAGGCGAGCTCTGAAGACAACAACAAAGGCAGGTTTGGGGTGGGGAGTCAATCTACCTTATTTGATATGTTCTTCCTGGATTTGTCTGATCTCTTACAAATAATAGCCCTCGACACTCGGTGTCATGCAAGGCCACTGTAAAGGCCGACGCTTTATGGGCTGTTTCATTCATTGTCCTCGCTGCAGGGGTTTTCAAAACTCAGAAAGGAAAACAAAGGAAAGGGCGTCCCAGGCCTCACATGTCCACCGTGAGCTTTCCTGGGGCGCCTGAGCTGCCAGCCCACAACAGGAAGCCAGGTACACACGGAGGGAGCAACGCCGCCCCTGCTGTAATAATGGCAATGAACTTGCTTTCCCAGCCTTTCAGGAAAGCCCACCCCACCGTAAATTGCTGGAAGGCCAATCCCTTCACTACCAATTTAATGCTAAGAGCCGATGACTTTCATCAAATCTGACAACATTTTAGTAAACGACAGCTCTGTTGATTAGGCTGCTGTCCACCCACGTATTACAAGGCCGAGGAAGCCATAAATCTTAATCCTCGGATAGCAGCAGAAAGATCTAAGGCCAAGCGGGGGGCGGGGGGAGGACAGTGCCGACCAGGGCCCATCTATCACCACCAGGGCTCCACAGGGCAGGTGGCAGCTCGGAAGTCCAACAAAGCAGCACCATTCACCTGGCTGGTTCCCCAGAACTGGAGTCCCAAGAAGGGTTTCGCAGGTGCCGCTGGGCAGCCTCTCGGCCCGAAGTTAGCTGACTCTGTGACTTGGTGGCCCAGGGATCCTCAGGCCGGTGAGCCCAAGGCAGCCCCTTCCAGCAACGGCAGCTCTACCCAAAAGTGCTTCCTAGTTGCTGGGCAAGACCCTAAGAAGGAAAATCTGTCCTGTTCGAGAAGGTTTTGGGCTTGGTCAGTAGAAAGGGGATGTGTGACTCAGAGTTTAGGGGAGACACTGAGAAAGACGGGCAAGGAAATAGGTTGGAGAGGCAGGGATGCAGCAGGGAGGAGGTGGAGCCAGCTGGGAGTAGACTGTGACCGCTGTGTCCCTGCTGACCAGCCAGTGCAAATGCACAGGAGCCACACCTGTCCCTCCTGCTGGTACGGGAGTAACTGAAGGACTGGGCAGGGCTGTGGTCCCTGGACCTCCTGAGGGGGTGGCTTTTGAGAACTGGCCACCTCTAGTCATTGGAGACTCTGCTACCTTGACCCCTGGCTGCCTCCAAGGACAGTGGAGCCCATTCAAAAGGGTAGAGAGACTATCTTCATCTCTATCTTACACACCCGAAACCTGTCGCCTAGAACTCCCTTCCATGGAGAACTTGCTTCATAACGCCACTACTCAGGGCCAAAGGAGACCAATCCAGTCTCCTCCTGAGACAGTAACAGTGCAGTTGGTGCATCCAGTTCATTTAGGGCCCCCTCTGTGCACTGGCCACCAGCCTCCTTTCAGCTCTCATCTTCAGGGTCAGCTCCGATGTGGCCCCTGGGAAGCCTCTGCAGCCACCCTCTCTCGAGCACCTCTTCCCCCAGACACTGTCATCTCATTGCACTCTTCCCTCTCTTTCACACGCTTGTTTATTTGTTTGCTTACGTGCTTTTCATCCTTGGCCTCTCCACCCACGCCCCATAAAAGCAAGCTCCAGGGAGCGGGCCTGGCCTGCATCACTCACTGCTATGACCACAGTACCGACAAGTGTCCAGAATTTAGTAGGTGCTCGTAAGTGATCACAGAAGGAATGGAGGACCGACGTGTGAGGAGTGAGGAGCCCTGGTGTCCCCAGGAAGACCGCCCTCAGCACTTGCCCTGCACTGACTACAGCAGTCATACATTTTACTGATGCTTCCTCTGTGCCGGGCGCTGCTTGAAATGCTCGCCAAACATTGGCTCATTCCATCCTCGTTACCAGCCCTGTGAGACAGGTACCATCATCAACCCTACTGATACTTCACAAAACAAGCACCGCGAGGTTTAGCAACTCATCTAGGACCGTGCAACTAGTCAGTGACGCAGCCAAGGCCTTGAACCTGGGCATCGGGGTGCCGAGTCCATACTCTTAACCACTTGGACTTGTCTGTCACCTGCTGCCAAGGGCTTCTACCTGAAGCACAAGCAGAGCCCCCGCTGATGGACCACCTGACACACTGTGAGCACATCTTTCCCAGCAGCCCTGGGAGGTTTCATTGATGAGGAGCCCAAAGTTCAGAGAGGTCACACTGTCAGCTCCAGGGCACACAGCTATAAGGAATTTGTCTGACTCCGAAGCCCTTTCCCTCCTACTCCTTAGGGGTCACAGGTTCAAATATCCCACAGAGCCAGGTGGGAAACGGAAAGATGTAAGAGAAACAGTAGCAGAGCAGATAACAAAATCCAACTTCCACTGGGCCTCAGCTCTGGGACCCTAAGGGAGCGGTGGGGACTGCAGCAAACCAGCGGGCTTGTCCCCTAACCATGCAGAACGCTCCCTGGCTCCCACTGGTGGCTGCCTGATGGGAGGGGGCCCAGCCTGGGGGCCCGATCTTTCCATTTTTCTAGAGAAGCAGGAATAGAGCTTCTTAAAAATTACATAAAATCTTTTGGCCCAGCCAGTGTGGCTCAGTGGTTCAGCATCAGCCCATGAGCCAGGAGGCCATGGGTCAATTCTCAGTCAGAGCACATGCCCAGGTTGCGGGCTCGATCCCCGTAAGAGGTAGGCAGGAGGCATTCCTGACCCTTCCTCTCTCTAAATTCAATAAAAATATTTTTAAAAATTATGTAAAATCTTTTTAATTTAAGTGTTAGCAAGTGACTAAGTCTTGTTAACTCTGTGAGTTCAAAAACACGTTATCGCTTGAAGTTGTTAACTTTGGAGTCCACCAGGCTGGTCCTCCGAGTGTTTGAAAACAGTGGTCGCATCTCCCTCCCAGTGAGCAGTTCCCACGTCCTCACGGTAAGGTCTTCCAGGGCGGGAACAGAGCCTTATTTGATTTTTTATTTTTAACTCCAGAGCCCCGCCCATGGTAGTAACTGTTAGATGAATGGACGATTTCTTTCATAACATGGCTCTGGTCCACTCAGCACTGCTGAGTGCTTCCTGGGGCCTATGTCTCTGAGGGGTGGTCCCAGAGCACTGTGCGGGTGGTGCAGCGTTGATCTGGTCAGTAATGGGGGGGTGGGGGGTTGACCCCGGTACCCATTCCACTCTCTCCTAAGATGCCTTCCTGTTCAGTAGAGGCGGAAAGCTAGACACTGCGCCTCGCCAGACTCTCTTCAGCTGGGGTTCTGGACGCGCCTCAGGTGAGCCCATCAGATGGCCTCACACCGGCAGGGAAAGCAGAAGCGAGGGGAGGCTGTCTGTGCCCAGCACAGTGGTGGAAGGATGGAGCAGTGACAGAGGCGACGGGTTTTTCAGCAACATCCCACCCTGGCTCCACAGGGCGTCTCTTCACCGTGTTGCCCTAGCAAGCACAGCCTCATTCTGAGGCCAGCGGCTGTGGCTTCTTCATTCCTGGGTCACAGCTAAGGTGACACATTCCGGATGCTGACCCCACCCCTTCCCTACCGTGTCCCAGGCAGCAGCTTTTCTGGCAGGTCTGGCTGAGATGCTGAGTGCCATTCCTGGAGGCCCAGCTCAGAGCCCATCCTCTGCTGGCCCAGGGATTTTGCAAGCACTTGATTCCCTGCATCACATTCATTTCTGATTAAAAGAGCCTGAGTGGTCTCTATTGTTAGGCACTGGCTGACCCCTCACTGATACGGTGCAGAAGGACAATTACAGTGTTCATGGCATCAGGAAGCCAGGAAATTAGCCATGATTAGGCCCTGTGAAGTGTGGGACCACAGGGAGAGGCTGGGAGGGATGCTAATTAATCCTAGGCCAAGTCTTTTAAATTGCATGGATTCTGGGGCAGCCATTAAGTCACAGACAGGATGCAAATATGGCTCCTGATAATAGAAGGCTCTCAGAACAACTAGAAGGATGGTCTGAAGTGGGAAGTGGAGAAAGACCTCATTAATGAGAAAGTAGCATTCATTGCTCGGAACAAAGGAGGCCTCCAGCTCCACGCCCTGCAGGCCCTGCTCCCTGGCACTGGAGCTGGCTAGCAGGAACCCCCTCCCCCATTTAGTCAGAGCCCCACCAAAGTCTCTGCAGAGAAGCGAAGGGCCACTAGATTTGGAGTAACAGATCCAGGGTTGAAACCTCAGCCTACCCTCCTCCCTCAGTAGCTGTGTCACTCTGAGCAAGTCACCTGACCTCTCTGGGCCTCAATTTCTTCAGTGGCACAATTAGGACTTATAGATCTACAGGATTATTGCAGAGATGGGCCAATAAAGTATATGAATTTACTCGTAGATCCATGCATATAGTACAATGCAAAATATTATAAGCAGTACTTCCCAATCTCGGTGAGCAGAGGATTAAAACGTATATACACACCATTGCTCAAGCCTCACCTCAGACCAAATGAGTCGGAATCTCTGGGGGTGGAGCCTGAGCATCAGTATTTTAAAAACTCCCAGGCGATGTGAACGTGCAGTGGGGGTTGTGACAAACAGGCCCCTGGTCAGGTGTGAGTAACTGCAAGGTAAGGTATACGGACTATATGGGCAAGAACACTGGGCCCTCTCCTCTCCAGAGGCCAGTGCCACATGCAGAGAGGGCAAGCTGCCGTGAGTGCCCAGCCAGCCCACCCACTGCCCACCGAGATTCTCACCGCCCCGCCGTGATTATGTTTCTGTTCCCTCAATAACCCCACTCCTTATTCTAAAGTGCGAGCTGGGGCCACGCTCTTGACCTGGTGCCATCCGCGGCGCTGGGCTTTGCTGGGGGCTGTCCGTGAATTCCGTCTTAAAGCTTCTTCAGCTTCTCGAAACAGGGTTCTTCGTCCATAATCTACACCAGAGATGAGGGAGGAGAATCAGTGAGGCACAGGTGGCAAGCTCACAGTGATGTCAGTTTTGTAACTTACATTTAAGTACACGTCAGTGTGCCCACAATCCTGTATGTGAAGTTATTCGCTGTAGCACCATTTGTAGCAGCACAGCATTAGAAAAGCTAAATGCCCAGCAAAAATGGAATAATAGTAATCTATAATAATAAAAGCATAATATGCTAATTAGACCGGATGTCCTTCCGGATGTCCTTCCTTCCAGACCAAGCTACAGCAGGCGGGGCCAGGGCCAAGGCCCTTGCACAAATTGTGTGCATTGGGCCTCTAGGATGTATAATAATGTACAGCCGAATGGAGCAGGTCTATATACAAAAGGAACACTCTCTGGGGATAGAAGCAGGATACAGGACAGTGTGCACAATAGGCCAGCATTTGTGTAAAGAGGGGGGTGGAGGGGGGAGAAGTGTGTTGAATGAGTGAAGGTACTGCCGGCGGCCCCAGTACAGAGACTCCTGTTATCTGCCCTCCCTGAAACCTGGACTCAGAGAGGCCTGCTTCTCCTAAGTAGCAGCAGTCGCCAGGTTCCTTTGCCATGAAAGCTAGAAGAGTCATTCCATTTTCCTCTTTGCCCTGGGGGCTAGGAAGCTCATGCTAAACTCCAAAATGAATTGCAGTAACTCTCCTCAGGAAGCTTTCAGGACATCACGTTCACTGTCTATTAATGGCTTGGGATTTTACCGTGCCTGTGGTAACAACACAAATCAAGATTACTGTGTGTCAGAAACATTCCTTCTGCCATTTAACCTTCCTGGCAAGCCTGGAAGGTGGGTATAACGATTCCCATTTTACAGAAGAGGAAACTGAGGGTCAGAGAGGACCCAACTGCAGAGGTCTCAGAGCTAGAAAGTGGCAGAACACGGTTCAAACCCAGCTCTGCCTCATTCCAGCTCCTCTCTGTACTATCTAGTGTAACTCGATACTACACTAGCCTCCCAGGCAAGGCAGCTTTGAAGGGCACCCTGGCACCCTATGGTCAGGTACCCTTGTTAGTCCGATTTTTAAGATGAAGAAGAAAGGCAAAATGGCTCTCCCAAAGTAGCATGGTCAGGTGGGACCTGCCTCCATGTGCTCTGCCACTTCACTCATTCAACCACTGAGTCATTTTTGGTGCCTATGTTGGGCCCGGCCACTGGGTTGGCTGCTTTCTATTCTACTTCACAGACTTCCTGTGCTTTTACTAGAGGACACATGAAGCCGCTCAAAGTGTGCAGAGTATGGAGTAACCACATTAAAAAATGAACAGTGGAATCAAAACAGGGGTTGGGTGCAAGACACTTCGAGTGAAAATCAGGTATAATCAACATTCTCTTAGGCATTTCTTTAAATTATAGGCACTTGAGAACTGGGAAGTGTAAAAGCAGGAATCGACTGCTCTGGCCACCTTTGCCCTGGGGCAGTGGAGGCCAAGACTAGTTTTAAAAGGAATAGAAAAGGATTTCTCTCTCTCACTCTCCTTCTGGCCAAATGGGTATAGTTGACTTGTATAGGTTAACTAGTTGTTTGCTGGTCAGTTTATGTGCATAAGATGCAGCTCCACTGCTTCTAATGAGTTAACGGAACTGTTGCTTGGACCATGGGCCTGGGCTCACCCTGTGCCCCCTCGGCCTGCGAGGCACTTCTGGAGACGTGGGAGTGGACGGCTCTCCGTGGCGACGCCTTCAGCTCCGAATTGGCCCCGTTGACGTAGACGGAGAAGCCCTGCTCCAAGTGCTCCAGTCTCAGCTGCACGGGGTCCTTGGCTTTCAAATGCTTTAATATCCTGGAAGAGAAAGGATCACCTGATCCTCTTACAGGATCTGGGCCACCCCCACCCCCATGCGGAAACTGAACTGCTGCTCTGATCATCAGAGGCTGGGGGTGGGTCCCCAGCTGTTTGCAGACAAACAGCCTGGAGGAAGCCCATTACACCCAGGGGGAAGCAGGAGGAAGACTGTTTCCCGCCCTGCAGGGATGCTTCTGATTTCATTCTGAGGCTCAAATGTGCCCACGTTAGCAACAAACCAGGGAGCACATCCTTGCCCCACAGTGGCTGAGACAGAAAGTGGGCACACGTGCGCACTGCTACCACACAGCCCGGACTCCCAGGGACCATCCCAATGCCATGCGTTTCCTCTTGTGGGGACAGCGGCCCTCGGTTCAGTGTGTAAGCAAACGTGGATTCGGGTCTGAGCCTTTGTGAGAGAATCCACAGAACACACCAAGTCAGAAACCCCTCGGCCGACCAGGCAAGCTGGTTTTTTGCTTCAGTAAATAAATGTCCTCTCAACCACTTGCCTGATATGTCAACTGTCATCATTTTATATTCTAATGCAGTTAAAAATATATCAATGCGGGCTTTTGTTCAAGATTAATGATGTGATTATCACACTCATAGGCTAAAAGGCTCTTGGCCTGAGCATGGCCCGGTGGGTCTCCAGTTCAGGTTTTGATTCAGCTTTCTCTAAAGGCCAGCTCACGCCTCAGGCCTGGTCCTTTCCCCACTCATGCGCCACAGATGGTGTGCATGTCCTCTTCGGCCCCTCCAGAGCTGCTCCCACCTGACGCTAAACCCTTCAGTCTCATGACAAAACCCCTCATGCACCCCTATCAACTAGACATCCGCACAAGAGGAAATACAACCAACCAACATGGCAGCAGGTGACTAAATAAGTTCCTCCCAAACTAGCAAAATGTAAATTTTAGAAAACAATAGTAATCACATATGGGGATGTACCATATGCCAAACTCTGTTCTAAACACGTTATACCAGCGGTTCTCAACCTGTGGGTCACAACACCTTTGGTGGTCGAACAACCCTTTCACAGGGGTCGCCTAAGACCATAGGAAAACACATATATAATTACATATTGTTTTTGTGATTAATCACTATGCTTTATGTTCCATTTGTAACAATGAAATTGGGGGTCACCACAACATGAGGAACTGTATTAAAGGGTCGCGGCATTAGGATGGTTGAGAACCACTGCTTTATACCAACAGTTAAGTTGCATTATTCTTGGTAGTTACATTCTATAAAGTTGCTGCAAACCCTGAATTAGCAAAGAGTGAACATAGCTCCTAGAGGAGACACAGGTTTGGTTCCTGCGAGCCGCTGGTCAGTGTTTTTACCACTGAGCAATACATAACCTTGCTGTATGCATGTTTCTGTAGGAAGGCACCTTATTTAATACAGAGTCGACTGATTAACATTGAACTCATGGCAAGCAGCACTCACACTCACGCCTGGATGAAGCTTACCTAACGTATTTTCTCTGAAAGAAACATCAGCCTTTCATACTTAACAACACTAGAGAGCACTTCAGAGCTATGCCTGAGGCCCGTTTAAGCAGCGGGATCACCAACAAAAAGCACACGCATGTGGAAAGCGCAGCCCTAAGTATACCGCGGAGAGGACCCTGTTCTCAGTGTGAGAGCCGACACAGAAGGCAGGGTCGCCTTCTTCTACCCCTCAGCTGACAATGTGCAACTAAAATTTTCTGCCACTCTGCAAATGTCTTTGAATTACTGTAAAAGCACTGAAAGTATTGATTTTGGAGTTGCAAATAAATTCTAGCGAGCAGATGAATTCACAAACATGGGAGTACTGTGAGCCATGAGGATTGGCACAACCATCTATGGCAGTGGTTCTCAACCTTCCTAATGCCGAGACCCTTTAATACAGTTCCTCATGTTGTGGTAACCCCCAATTTCATTGTTACAAATGGAACATAATTAAAACATAGTGATTAATCACAAAACAATATGTAATTATGTATGTGATTTCCAATGGTCTTAGGCGACCCCTGTGAAAGGGTCATTCGACCCCCAAAAGGGCTTGCGACCCACAGGTTGAGAACCGCTGATCTATGGAGTAATTGCATTTATTATCCCCATTTAACGCCCAGAGTACCGGGGAGTGCGATTGCGCTCCTCCTGTCTTTCACCAAAAGTGCCGGGAGCGCTACCGCACTCCTCCTGCAGTGTCACTATTAGATGCTAGTAGTTCACTCTTTATTGACAGATGGCACCTAAGTGCAGATTACTTATGATGCTGAATGTTTGTAGTTCTAAAATTGACCACTGGCATTTATCTGCCTAATTTTTTACAGGTACTACGATTTTATGAAGTTTACTGCTGTAAAATCAGCAAAAATTCCTTGGCAATTTTAGCATAGTTCCTAGGATATTGGTTGGTACTCAAAGGGTTAATAGATAAGGAAATGGAGGCACAGAGAGGTTAAGTAACTGGCCCAAGGTCACACAGGTGGTATGGTGGTGTCAGGGAGGAAGTGAGACATAAGACATGGGGTCTGCCCTGGGGTCCTGAACAGAGGCCAGACCAGCCGTGGGCAAACTACGGCCCGAGGGCTGGATCCGGCCCATTTGAAATGAATAAAACTAAAAAAAAAAAAAAAGGCCGTACCCTTTTATGTAATGATGTTTACTTTGAATTTATATTAGTTCACACAAACACTCCATCCATGCTTTTGTTCCGGCCCTCCGGTCCAGTTTAAGAACCCATTGTGGCCCTCAAGTCAAAAAGTTTGCCCACCCCTGGGCCAGACCAACATTGCCATCAGACCGCCAGCGGGCAGGTTCAGAGACAGGCGGTTCTTGGTGCAAGCTCAGAGGAAGAAGATATGACCTCAATGCCAATGTGACCTTACTAGGGCCCTAAACTAATTATAATAAAATTTGCATTTCAGTTTTGACCCCACTCCTGTGGGTTTTTCTGTATACATTATGGGTAAGGGCATGCCCAGAAAAAATATAGTTTTTGTCAATCATCCCTGAATGCAAGTCAAAGTCTCCACACAGAAAATCCCTCTTTAAATCCCAGGAGTTGAGGGCCATGTGCGCTCGCCTCTCTCTCTCCCCCACCACCCCACCCCCACCTGCTCCTTGCTTGGAATGTATGTTCAATAAGCCCCACTTGTAATTGATGGAGGTTTTCATGATTCAGCTTTACTATTGCACCTGCTTTTGTATCCCGTGAAATGAGTTAAATTTCACACCCAAAACATGAGCTAAAACCACCTATGCTCTTACAGTACAGCTGTTTACAGATTTTGTTTGCTTTACACCTCTTCATAATCTTTCTCGGGAATGGAGAATGGAGAATACAAGTATGCAAAGTTTCTTTCAGGCCTACAAAAATAATGAACAGATGCCTCATAAATGGCCGTAACACTTAATTATCAAAGTTTTATAATTCATTATTAGTTAAGCTGTTTTAATATTAGTTAAGCTGTTTTAATATCTTCAATTAAAACTGACAGTGCAAGCCTAAATTTAAACATAAATAAATAAATAAACAAACAAACAAACCCCATTTTGCTTTACTTTTCTTTTCATTGACCTTAAAATCCTTTCTGCATCGATGAAAAGAACCAAGGTCCCAACCAGTGACCCCAGTCGGTAACACTGGCAGGACTAAAATGCAAACCTAAGCAGTTTGGCTCCAGTCTTCACCAGACGAAGACAACTTCTACAGGTGGTGGGATGATGTTGAAACCAGAAAATATCATAGACACTGGTAGTAACTCACAGAACCTTCTCAGAAGTAATTATAAAAATACAGAAAATGAGAAAAACCAAGATGGCGGCATAGGTAAACACTGGAGATTGCTGCCTCGCACAACCACTTCAAAAATACAACTAAAAGACGGAACGGACATCACCCAGAACCACAGGAAGGCTGGCTGAGTGGAATTTCTACAACTAGAAGGAAAGAGAAAAGCATACCGAGACTCAGAGGAGGTGCAGTGCGGATACGGAGAGGGCTGGCAGCTGAGGACACGATTGTCTTTTTCAATTGGGAGGGAGTCTCAGGCTCTGAGCTCCAGTTCCGGGCGAGTCTCTGGGGACCCAGACTCATACGGGAGAAACGGGGCTGTCTGGCATTGGTCGGAACTCGAGGGCAGCTTTCTCTCGGAGGCACATGCAGCTTTTGCCAGGGCCTCTGAAGGCAGGACTGAGAGCAGCCATACTACTTGATCCGCCAGCCCTGTTGATCCCCTGGGACCCTGTCCCGCCCAAGCCGTGCAGGGAGGCTTTTGCATATGAAAGGCCCAGCCCTTTGTAATCTGAAAATTACTTAACAAACTCAGCTGCCCCAAGGCCCCAGGGCAATTTGCATTGCTTTACAGCTGGCTTCTGCTGAGTAGCCGCAGGCAGAGGCTAGATTAGCACCTCCTTAGATCCAAGAGCCAGTGTACCCAGTGGTCAGAGTGGGACTATCCAATTACAACTCCTCAGATCTATAAGGGACACACTCAGGGGGCAGACTCAGTGAGCACCAAAGCCCCACTGAAGCAAGTCTTGCCCCATAAGGGTGTCTTCAGCACAGAAGTTCTCCCACCGTAGACACAGCTGATTCTCACAGCCAATTGGCCTGGAGATCAAATCCTCCCAGTTTTACCTACAACAATCAAGGCTTAACTACAACAAGACTGTGCACAAAGCCCACAAGGGGGTGCACAAAGAGTGTCTACCTCAGGTAATTGGGACACTTAGCACAGAAAGCCACTCTATCGACACAGCGAAGCTTAAAAAATGCTGAGACAAAGAAACAGGACACAAATGACAGAAATGGAGGAAAGCAAAACTACTGGATATAGAGTTCAAAACCACACTTTTAAGGTTTTTCAAGAATTTTCTAGAAACCGCCGATAAATGTAGTGAGATCCTCAAGAAATCTAGTGAGATCCTCGATGTTGTGATAAAGGACCAACTAGAAATTAAGCATACACTGACTGAAATAAAGAATATTATACAGAC